GAGTTAACTCCTCTACCCAGTCTGTAGTTGTCGGTGTCCCAGGGTAGTGTTCTTGGCCCACTCCTCTTTCTCATCTACATCAATGATCTAATGCATCTCAACTCCTTCAACCAGTTCTGTTTGCAGATGACATTACTTATGTTTTCTTCCACTCAATCCTGGCTATACTTAAAGACACTGTAAACAAAGAGCTGCAAAAAAATATCTGCTTGGATTACGACCAACAAACTCTCAATATAGGTTAAGTTGGAGATTTTAGGTTCTGTTTGGAAACAACCTTAATATCCAACTTAACATATCGATAAATGGTTCCCCCGTTACAAAACACACTGAGGGTAAATTTCGAGGTCTTCACCTTGATAGTAATCTTTCATTTCCACATCCAACATATATACAAGAAAATTTCCAAATCAGTAGGCGTCCTTTCCCCAAACAACATTCCTTATCATATACCACTCTCTAATATATCCCTATTTCACCTATGGTATTTGTGCCTGTGGATCGACCACGGCCAACCACCTTAAACCTCTAACAACCCAACAAACAGTTGCTGTGCGGATGATCACCAACTCCTGTGCCAGACAGCACACCCCACCACTTTTCAAAAGCTTGAACCTACTAAATATACGACTACATACAAATTTAAGGCTATGCTTAGAAATCATCTCATCTCTCAATGCTAACTAAACCAACCAAAACAACAACTAACCAGTTTGAAGTAACTCTCCCCCCGGGCCGCGGGGGCGTTGACCCCCGGAACTCTCCACAGGTAAACTCCAGGTCTCCAGGTATTACAACATCTACTCATACTTGGTACTGTTTGAACTATTATTTGCAATATTGTTATTCGTTATGTGCAACATCAAGATTAATACTGTTATAAACCTTCAACTTTGACTACCTCGTACTAGTATTAAGATAAAATAATAAATTAAAAAGATAACTATTCTTATCCTGTCTAGACTTAAGTAGTTTTAAAGTATTAAGATTAGTCTGCCTGATATACCCCGGCATGATAGTGACTTTGTTTGTACTTAACAAATTAAAATTGTAATTATATATTGTAACTGTGGAAAATACTGTATATTTTCCGGAAATACGGTAATTTATAGGTAAATAGATGCCCTATATTGTATTTAATAAAAGTGTATTTTTAAAAGAAGGACAGTCGCCATTGTTAATTTGAATTGGATACAATGTTAGTGAAATGGGAAGGAATTTTCATGTTCTAGAGGTTAAAATTGGGCTGACACCTTTCAAATAGGAGGCGAAATTGTTAGATGTGCATTCCTGCATAACTTGAGCTATCAGGCGACTGGACAAGACAGCTCCAGGAACCTCAGATAAGTTTACCTGGAGTTTACCTGGAGAGAGTTTCGGGGGTCAACGCCCCCGCGGCCCGGTCTGTGACCAGGCCTCCTGGTGGATCAGCGCCTGATCAACCAGGCTGTTGCTGCTGGCTGCACGCAAACCAACGTACGAGCCACAGCCCGGCTGATCAGGAACTGTCTTTAGGTGCTTGTCCAGTGCCAGCTTGAAGACTGCCAGGGGTCTGTTGGTAATCCCCCTTATGTGTGCTGGGAGGCAGTTGAACAGTCTCGGGCCCCTGACACTTATTGTATGGTCTCTTAACGTGCTAGTGACACCCCTGCTTTTCATTGGGGGGATGGTGCATCGTCTGCCAAGTCTTTTGCTTTCGTAGTGAGTGATTTTCGTGTGCAAGTTTGGTACTAGTCCCTCTAGGATTTTCCAGGTGTATATAATCATGTATCTCTCCCTCCTGCGTTCCAGGGAATACAGGTTTAGAAACCTCAAGCGCTCCCCGTAATTGAGGTGTTTTATCTCCGTTATGCGCGCCGTGAAAGTTCTCTGTACATTTTCTAGGTCGGCAATTTCACCTGCCTTGAAAGGTGCTGTTAGAGTGCAGCAATATTCCAGCCTAGATAGAACAAGTGACCTGAAGAGTGTCATCATGGGCTTGGCCTCCCTAGTTTTGAAGGTTCTCATTATCCATCCTGTCATTTTTCTAGCAGATGCGATTGATACAATGTTATGGTCCTTGAAGGTGAGATCCTCCGACATAATCACTCTAGGTCTTTGACGTTGGTGTTTCGCTCTATTTTGTGGCCAGAATTTGTTTTGTACTCTGATGAAGATTTAATTTCCTCATGTTTACCATATCTGAGTAATTGAAATTTCTCATCGTTGAACTTCATATTGTTTTCTGCAGCCCACTGAAAGATTTGGTTGATGTCCGCCTGGAGCCTTGCAGTGTCTGCAATGGAAGACACTGTCATGCAGATTCGGGTGTCATCTGCAAAGGAAGACACGGTGCTGTGGCTGACATCCTTGTCTATGTCGGATATGAGGATGAGGAACAAGATGGAGCTAGTACTGTGCCTTGTGGGACAGAGCTTGTCACCGTAGCTGCCTCGGACTTTACTCTGTTGACGACTACTCTCTGTGTTCTGTTAGTGAGGAAATTATAGATCCATCGACCGTTTTTTCCTGTTATTCCTTTAGCGCGCATTTTGTGCCTATTACCCCTGCCACACTTGTCGAAGGCTTTTGCAAAGTCGTAATATTACATCTGCTTCTTTTTGTCTTTCTAGTGCATTTAGACTTGTCGTTGACCAGTAGTTAGACAGACAGGGCGACCGTTCTAAACCATGTTGCCCTGGGTTTGTAACTATGGGTTTTTAGATGGTGGTGTCTTGCTTCTTAGGACCCTTTAAAGATTTTTAGAAGGATGTATGCAAGGCGTAGTTCTTTCTGTTCTTTACCCCCCCTTTGTGGGTGGGGCATTCTGTTTTTTTTTAGTAACTGAGGACACCCCCGTGCCATGCCCCTCTCCAAGGATGGAAAAGGCTCGTGATAGGGGCTTCTTGCAGTTCTTGATGAACACAGAGTTCCATGAGTCTGGCCCTGGGGCAGAGTGCATGGGCATGTCATTTATCGCCTGTTCGAAGTCATTTGGCGTCAGGATAACATCGGATAGGCTTTGTTAGTCAAATTTTTGTGGCTCTCTCATAAAAAATTCATTTTGGTCTTCGACTCTCAGTCTGGTTAGCGGCTTGCTAAAAACTGAGTCATATTGGGACTTGAGTAGCTCACTCATTTCCTTGCTGTCATCTGTGTAGGACCCATCTTGTTTAAGTAGGGGCCCAATACTGGACGTTGTTCTCGATTTTGATTTGGCATAGGAGAAGAAATACTTTGGGTTTCTTTCGATTTCATTTATGGCTTTTAGTTCTTCCCGCGATTCCTGACTCCTAAAGGATTCTTTTAGCTTAAGTTCGATGCTTGCTATTTCTCTGTTATGTTATAACTCTGGCCAGTTGTTATTTTCATGTATAGACAGAGTTTTTCTGAGTATGATACACCTTGATTTCCAGTCAAATTGGTGAGTGATATTAAGATGTTTTCCTTCTGTTATGTAAATGTGTGTATATATATATAATCCTTTTTTTAATTTTAATATACAGTCCACAAATTTATATATTTACCAGCATTCCTGGTGATGTATATTTCATTTAATTAATAGGTCCAGAGCAACTTGTGGATATGACAGTGGTAGGTATCGAAAGGGGACATTTTTTTGCGACCTAGGTGTCCCAAATCCTACTTGTCTAACTGATGAATAATAATTATCTATGTTCATTTATTGTTATGTAAATAATGATACATTCAGATAAATGCAATTTTCCACAGTAACCTTTGCAAAGAAATAATTTTTTATCATTTTTGTTTCTTTGTTCTGCATAACAAGGGGCTGTCTGTATAATAGTATGTCATTGATGTAATTAGGCCTGTATACATTATACATGTACTTGTAGAAATAAAGATTTTTATTATTATTATTATTATTAATTATTATTATTATAAGTATATACCCTGACGGATATACTTCTCAGTGTATGTAGTCTTCACTTCAGTACAAGGAATTAAGTTACACTTTGGCTTTATTCGGTTACCTTGGGTTAATTTACACAGGTTGCTGTATCAGGCAACTGTAAAAATCTTCTGTAATGAATCTGACTGAATAAAACGTACGTGACGAGGACGCAACTCTGGGAAACACCTCGTCATAGCAACACAAACTTCTATAAATAACATCACTCACACACGTTACATTTCGTTCAGTCATTGGTAGGAGAAACCTCTAAAGCATTGCATATAGAAAGAATTTGAAGAGACACAATGTACTATCAGACATTAAAGTAAATGTATCAAAAGTTAATGCACATGTTGCATAAGATGATTGTGCATTGCAACACACTAACATGACAGACGAAACTTTCTGTACATTCGGAGAGAAGAAAAAAAAAGTGCAGCCATTAAGGCGAGCTGGGATATGTCGTCACACAAGATACCAAATCAAAACTTCCTTTATGAACTACCACCCATACAGGGACCATGTTAAAATAACATTTTTTTTTTTTTTGGCTGACGACCCCCTGGTATCCATACCCGAGGTCAGGATGAAGCTATCGACAAAAACGAGGCATGTGGCATTATGACATTAAGCTCCACATTCACTCATCTATGACTATGCATTCTGCTTCACATTTTTTTCCTAGTGAATTATACAGCCTATCACTTGATCCTTCACCCACCGTGTTTATGCTATGTACACATGGCTCCAGATGCTATGTGACGTCTGTTGATATTAACTCAAACTGCATGACACATCCAGTTAATCCATTATTGCAGAATCAAGTTCACCTGCACTCGTGATCAAGCTTGATATATATTGTTTCACTACTAGTAACTTGTGTAGTCATCTAGAAATAACCTAAGAATATTATCGCAAAGAGTTACCAATCTTCACAGGAGTGTTATGCATATATAGTTATATTCTGCCATTTTAACTACACTGGAGGGACGCACAACTCACTTCCACTTCACTCCTCCCTTGACTGAGTGGTGACTATGGGTAAGTATGCATCGTGTACGATACGTAAGCCAGGAAATTCCAGTGGTGTAACTATGTATAAATATAGCTTTGGACCATGGAAGTGGCTCGTAGCTCAGTTGGTAGCTCACACATTGAGGTCCGTGGTTCGATCCCGGTACGGGTGGAAGCACTGGGGGCGTGTTTCCTGAAGACACCTGCTGTCCGGGAAAACGGTATTTACGTGTACCTGTACCTAATTGAACTTACTTAACAGTTGTTCATTCTAGTTAGTTCATACAAAGTAACTTCTCTGTTTGCAACATGAAATGCATTTTTCTATATTGAGAAGTGTCGTGTATTTAGGCCTTTTGTTGCCGTATACAGTAAAAAATTCGACTTAATTTTGTACATCTCCCTCTTGTGAATCCATTAATATTGGGTAAAATGTTCTTTTTATTCTGTATTAATCGTGTATACACTCTTCCAGTATTTTACACATGCAGGTAGTCAGTGAGATGGGGAGAAACATCATGTTCATTAGTTTCGTTATTAGTATAATAATGATAATTCTTATCAACGAAGGTCACTCGCCCTTTATTGAGCTATCGCTCACAGGATGAGCCTAGAGTGCAAAATAAGCTGGCCTTTCGGGCAGCACGAAGCAAATACTATAAATGTGTCTTCTCTACAGATTTTGGTGGTAAGGACGATACAGCACCTCGAGCTGTTGTAACCATTATACCTAACAACACCAGTAACATGTCAGGTTCCTGCGGTAGAATCTGTGCGGCTTCTCGAGTAACCACACCTTCAGTAAGTTTATTCAAGTAATATATAAATACAGTTACACAGATTATCATACATAGCAGCATATGTGTAAAGAACCTATGATAACCCAAAAAAGTCAGAGTGACTTACTTATTTCCATTGGAGTCTGAAGTATTATTATTATTATTATTATTATTATTATTATTATTATATTAGTAGTAGTAGTAGTAGTAGTAGTAGTAGTAATAGTAGTAGTAGTAGTAGCAGCATTCCATCACATTAATAACTATGCAGGATTCAGATCAGTTGCTTGTAGGGTTACACAAGTTGGCTTAACCCAAATACCCAACAACAGCATTAAACTCTGCAGGATTTATGCAGATCCACAACTTATTACAACTCTTATAATAAACAACATCACAGAGAGATGTTACAGCCTTTATATTCAGCAAAAATACCAAAACTGGAGGATCTACGCGGCTCTATGATCTGTCACAACCCCACTGCCTAATAACGGAGCGAAACACTAGGCTCTATATGATTTTTCGGGTTTAAAGCTTCACTCCTAAATGATAGTTGTAACTGTTGCAATCCTTATAACCAACAAGAGAATCGACCACTGCTGCTAAACTCGCCACAGCTCTTATATCTAACACCAGCATATGTTCTATACGTGCACGTTGAGTATAGAGGACTTCTCGGTCGCTACTTGATGATTAGGGCTCCGCAACTACCTGGTTCTGAGCATGGGTGACAAATTTTCACTTCACTGGACGCTTGTCCTCATCATGTATAGCCTGGCTAGGAAATTTGTCAGCTCGCCATACATCAGATTGTTTTATAACCCACTCCGCGGATTTCTAAGGCCTTGGGTAAGCCAGTTGCTGGCTCAATTGAAAGTGGTCGTCTGGCCTTACCAGTTGTGAACCGTGTGGTTCACTTGACTTTAATAGGAACTTTTGTTCCCTTTACTATTTTGAACGGGTATTGTTCCCTTCCCGCTTCCTGCACAGCTTTAGGCATTGGCATCTCATATTTTGTATGGTAATTCAAGTAACTAATATCACTCACTCTTCTAAATTTGACAATTATACCTCATTATTGCGATTTTTATTATGAATTAACTGAGCAAATTTTAAGCATAATATAGGCTAAATTTTGACAGAGATTCTATGAATTCTCTGGGCCTTCAGTTTATTGCATGTTCTGTGTAGTAATACTGAAGTTTAGATCAGTAGTTGCAATTCCTCATTTACATCAATGCATCATTTACATCAGTTGCAATTCCTCTTTTACATCAATGATCTTCCAAACATATCCCAACACCTGAAACCCATTCTCTTTGCTGACGACACGACTTATGTCATCTCCCACCCTAATCTTGCCACCCTCAACACCATTGTTAACGAGGAGCTGCTCAAAATATCGACTTGGATGACAGCCAATAAACTTACACTTAACACTGACAAACCCTACTATATTATGTTTGGTAGCAGAGCAGGTGTTGCGCAACTTAACATTAAGATCGAAAACACTCTAATTGCCAGACATAATGAGGGCAAATTCCTTGGCCTATACCTCGACAACAACCTAAATTTCAGCACCCATATCCAACACATAAAAAAAGTATCCAACACGGTGGGGATCCTCTCCAAGATACGATACTACGTGCCGCAAACTGCCCTTCTCACATTATACCATTCACTTATATATCCATACCTCACCTATGCTATCTGTGCTTGGGGTTCAACTGCAGCAACACACCTAAAGCCAATAATAACCCAACAAAAAGCCGCAGTAAGAATAATCACTAAATCCCATCCCTGGCAATACCCCCCCCCCCACTCTTCATAGATCTAAACTTACTCCCTGTTCAGAACATCCACACTTACTACTGTGCAATCTATATCTACAGGACCTTAAATTCCAATATTAACCTTGACCTAGAACACTTTCTTGATAGTTGTGACAGGATCCACAGGCATAACACCAGACACAAACATCTCTATGACATTCCCCGTGTTCGACTAAACCTTTACAAAAAATTCAATGTATTTTCAAAGGACCTAAAATCTGGAACACCCTACCCGAAAACTCTAGAACTGCAGACACATTCATCACTTTCAAAACTACAGTTAGAAAACATCTTATCTCCCTGATACACCCCGACAACTAACTACATGATAACCACCTGGTGGTTCACAATTACACTCACTAAACCCATGACTATAAACCCAGAAATACTAATTTTAAAATCTTAAAATAAATAAATCCTAACTAGTCATAAGTTTGCCTGTGATACTCCAATATAGACACTTTGTATTGTGCCAAAACAAAAGCATTCACATTGCTAAACTCACAAATTATGATGTAGTCACTTAGCCTTAATACCATAATCTGTAAGGATTTAATGTTATGAATTAATCTAAGTCTGCCCGAAATGCCTAGCCATGCTAGGTGTCCTAGTGGCCCCCTCTGTAATTAGTATTCTATAACATGTAAACCACACAATACCCAAAACCTGTAAACCCCACATTGTAACCCTTATAGAGAATAAACTTGAATTGAATTGAATTGTATTTGACCAACATTTGTAATAACCCCACGAACGTTATAGCAAATTGTTTTACTAATACTTCTGCAATAAAAATACAGTAATATTAAAAATTTATTCCAAGGCTGCCAGAGATGCTGTGTATAACCAGGGGCTTTCTATAAAGTTGGTCAATAATGTCACCTTTTCCTTAATCAATTGTAAACCATACTTTTTCTTCTTAAGTTGTGCCGCCTGAGAGGCTAGTTTACGTTGCACTCCATGCTCATTCTTTGAGCGGTAGCAATGGGTCTTTGTCAGACTGAAATAGTCTCGAAAAAAATATCTGATCACTCCTAAAGTTTGCTTTTCATCATTATTCTTTCCCAGAGACTGGGAAACATGGCTCAATAAGATGTATGTAAGTTGAAGGTTAAGACACATGTGCAACAGTTGGGTATCTTTATCCATGAAACGTTTCCCAGCGCCACCCCATCTATAGAGGGTACTTCTCCCCTAACCCACGATGTCAGCAAGGCCCCGCAGGAGGCCGGCTCCGGAAAATTCCACCACAGACAGCATCGTGGAGTTCGACCGCGAGGGAGCTGTCAGTGTTTCCACGGCAGTGTGTACTCAGTTCCTCAAGCTTCAACATCCGTGCACACGAGGGCCTGGGATCTTCAGTCAACTTGGCGTCCACCAGGACGTGCATGTCCTAGGACAGCTTCCATCGGCTGCTAACGGGGCCACTGGCTCTTGGGCCTCTTGGGAAGGCGATGGTGTCCGGCAAGCAGCAAACCGGGGCAAACTTGCTGCTGTTTGCAATGGCTGTCTCCAGGGGAGACGGCACCTAGCAACATCTGTTGTTTTGGGAAATGGATGAATTCCTGCTATGTTTGTTAACTGCTCATACCTGTAATTTGTCTATGATTGTAATCATGTGATAACGTTTTACATTTATTACCTTGAAACTTTCAAAGATTGGACCACTCTACTGGATCATTACCTTTGTAAATTCTCATGATTAATGTGTTTATGATTCATTACCTTTGCAATTATTCATGAGTGTGACCAGCTCTACCTGGAGCTCATTACCTTTGTAACTTGGTCATGATTATGCCCAGATCTAGTTCATTACCTTTGTAACTTGCTCAGCTATCAAAACTTTGGAGTCCAGTCCCTGGACCAATTATGTACCTCTGTAATCTTTTGACTACCGCCCACAGGATGGGTATGGGGTGCATAATAAACATATTAAACTAACTAACTGAAACGTTTCGCCTACACAGTAGGCTTCTTTAGTCAAATGCTAAGGCAGCAGAAGAAATGAAATAAAGATGATGTAATTAGTCCATCAACCTTGGAGAAAATGTATTTGAGGTGGTCAGTCCTTCAGCCTAGAGAAGAGTTCAGCTAGATGGAGCTGAATAAGTAAGTAAGTTTATTCAGGTATACACAAATACAATTACATAGATTATCATACATAGCAGCATATGTGTAAAGAACCTGGGATAACCCAAAAAAGTCAGAATGACTTATATCCATTGGGGTCCTTTTCTCCAAGATTGATGGACTGGTTACATCATCTTTATTTCTGCTGCTGCCTTTGTATTTGACTGAAGAAGCCTACTGTGTAGGCGAAACGTTTCATCGATAAAGATACCCAACTGTTGCACAGGCGTCTTAATTTTCAACTTTTCTGTATTTTACAAAATTTTCAACAAGATGTTAAGTTTTGGTGACCCACAAAACCTGTAACAACGTGAGTCAGCGGTGGCACACCTCGTCGCTGCTTTATTCAAGTAAAAACCTGCTTTTTCCTCTATTATGTGACTATTATTCAGATAGTTTTCGATCATTTATAACTGCTTGGTGTTTTGTTAAAAGTATGATTAGACTTTAGAGTCGTTATCTTGGTAACGAAGCCTAAGAGAAACCAGTTGTTAATTTTTTTTTTTAAGGGCGGATACTTGGAATTCGAGGTAGCGAGATAATGAAAGACTGACGTATGTAATTAAGTTTATCAAGGAGGAAATAGCACTACTAACTTAAATAACCAAGCCTAACTTAATTACATTCTCCACAGACCGGGCCGCGGGGGCGTTGACCCCCGAAACCCTCTTCAGGTATATTCTAGGTCTCCAGGTATTAACATATTAAAACATCAATATTTGTTCGTTACCCAGCACTTTGACGTTATGTACGAATAACATCTAAACTTCTTTTTAATATTAATGTAAATAACTCAATTTATCTTATTCCTAGTATATACCCCTTTATTGTAACCGATTTTTACATAGTTCAATTGGTAGCGCACTCAGAACACACACTGAGGTCCATGGATTGATCCCCGGTATGGGTGGAAACATTAGGACGTGTTTCCTTACAACACACAAGCACCAGACGAGCCTGGCCCATGGCCGAGCCCCGAGAGTAGTGAAACTCGAAACTCTTCAAAGGTATATCAAAGGCAAAGATATTTTCCTGTTTACTCATTAGTAAAATAGATACCTGGGTGTTAGTTGACAGGTGTGGGTTGCATCCTGGGACAAAATGGACCTAATTTGACCAAAATGCTCTGCATAAGAGTAGAAACATTGGACATGTTTCTTTCCACCTGTTGTCTATGTTCCCCATCAGTAAAATGGGTACCTGGGTGTTAGTCGACTGGTGTGGGTCGCATCCTGGGACACTGACCTAATTTTCCCGAAATGCGGAGCATAACAAGGGACTTTCTATATAGTAGTATGTCATTGTTGTCAGCTAGGACTGTATACCTTGTACATGTACCTGTAGAAACAAAGATATTGTTATTATTATTATTAATATATTACAAGGACCCCAATGGAAATAAAACCCTTTGACTTTTCAGTTATCCTAGGTAATCTACACATAAGCTGCTGTGTATAATAATTTATGTAACTATTTATGTGTAACTATACCTGAATAAACTTACTTGTAACTTAACGAGATCATCCTATGGATTTTGCTTTATTTCTATACAATATGCTATATAACACCAGTGTAAAAAATAAACTTACATACGAAACCTAAATAAAAGCTTCCCTCGGCTGGTTACATCCACAGTACAGTGGCAATATTTTCTTGGGTCACTTCAGTGGAACCTTCATCTCCATAAAAATGAAAACAAAACAAAAGTTTATTTCTTTGCAAAGGTTACATTGTGTGTTTACATTTCATAATTTGATTGGTACAAAAAAAAGCCACTATCATGCTGGGCATTTCGGGCAGATTTAACCTAATATTTAACCCTTTGACTGTTTTCGAAGTATAAATACGTCTTACGAGCCAATGTTTCTGACGTATATATACTCAATAATTCTAGCGGCTTCAAATCAAGCGGGAGAAAGCTGGTAGGCCCACATGTGAGAGAATGGGTCTGTGTGGTCAGTGTGCACCACATAAAAAAAATCCTGCAGCACACATTGCGTAATGAGAAAAAAAAAACTCTGATCGTTTTTTTGGAATAAAACGCCGACTTTGAGGTGTATTTTCGTATAGTATTTATCGTTGTATTTGCGTTTTCATGGTCTTAAGTGATAAAATAGAAAACATATTACAGAAATAGAGATGATTTTCATTACTTTGACGATGAAAACGACCTTGAAACTGAGCTCAAAGTAGCGGAAATGTTCGATTTTTACCAATGTTCAGGAGTAAATAAATCACCACACGTCCAATACACGTCAACTTGGGAGTCTAATATTCTTTCACTAGTGCACTGATATTATTTATACCATTTTTACAATAATGCAGTAGTCTGCATAACAGTAAATTTTTTATTTTTTTGTATGAATAAAAAATCAAAATAGAAAGCAATAATAATATAAGAGGGGCCTAGAGATGTGACTAATGAACAGAGCATATGTTATTTTAGTGCCACGAATGTCTACCTTGTTTATTCTGGACCCTATTTTGAAATTGGCATCTTTTTTAGTTTGTGTGAAATTGGCCAAATTGCCAATTTCTGACCACCATTTTGGGTAGTCCAAATTAGTAAATGGGAGGTTTCTTGTACTCAGCTGATAGATAAAATGGAGTTCTAAAGAAATAGCTATGAGTTTGGTCAACTGGAATTGGCTGAAAATAGGGCTCAAAGTCGGCGAAATCGCCGATACCCATATGTCGCCGAGACAGCTAACTTCGCGGGAGCATAATTCCATGAGTTTTCGACCAAATTTCGAACTTTTGGTGTCATTACCATCGGGAAAAGATTCTCTATCATTTCATAAGAAAAAATAATTTTTTTTTTCAAAATTGAGTGACATAGAAATGACAGTTTCAGAGAGGGGCCTGAAACAGTCAAAGGGTTAAAGACTACTTTAGACAGGTAAAGAGTGGTGAATTTCAAATATGCAATATTTTACTCTATTATTAATAAGAGTACAAATAAATACAATTACATAATTGTCATAAATAGCAGCACATGTGTAGATTACCTAGGATAACCCAAAAAAGCATGACAAAGCAACTTACTTCCATTGGGGTCTTCTAATCTCAGTTCACATGCAGCAGTGTTACTTAAGAGCTTTAGGAACACTATTAGGATTATTAACCCAGGATAACCCAAGGAAGTGCATCAGTGGCTTATTTCCAGTGATGTCCTAATTTTTCTTTTCAAGGTTGCCATCCACACAATTGCTATAAAAAAACCTGTTAAACCCTAATGTAACTTAACTTAACCTGAAATACCTAACATAACCTAGTTAATCATTCAACAGCAGTACTCATATTACAGTGTGCAAAATTGTCAAATTAAGTTTATTTATTTATTTATTTATTTATTTATTTATTTAGTAATTTGAGCATACATACAGAGGTACAAAAAAATACAGGTAAGAGCAGCATGCCAAAGCCACTTATATGCATAGCATTACCTGGAGTTTACCTGGAGAGAGTTTCGGGGGTCAACGCCCCCGCGGCCTGGTCTGTGACCAGGCCTCCTGGTGGATCAGCGCCTGATCAACCAGGCTGTTGCTGCTGGCTGCACGCAAACCAACGTACGAGCCACAGCCCGGCTGATCAGGAACTGACTTTAGGTGCTTGTCCAGTGCCAGCTTTGAAGACTGCCAGGGGTCTGTTGGTAATCCCCCTTATGTGGCTGGGAGGCAGTTGAACAGTCTCGGGCCCCTGACACTTATTGTATGGTCTCTACGTGCTAGTGAAACACCCCTGCTTTTCATTGGGGGGATTGGTATAAAAATAATATATATAAATCTAAATATAAAATATATATATTATATATATAAATATATATAATATATAATATATATCTATATATATTAAATATATATACACATAAATATGTTTGTGTGTATATATATATATATATATATATATATAATATTATATTATATATATTATATATATTTTTTATCTATATATATATACATTATAATATATATATCTATATATTATATATATATATATATATTTTAATATATAATATATATACATATATATATATATATATATATATATATAAATATATATATATATATATTTATATATATATATATACATATATATATATATATATACATACATATATATATATATATATATATATATATATATAATAACTAACTAATATAATATAAAATATATATTATATAATATATATATATATAATATATAATATATATATATATATATGTAATATATATATATATATATATAAGATTATGTATATATATATATAATAAATATGATATATATATATAATATATCTATATATGTAACATATATATATATATAATATATAAATATATTATAGTATATATATATATATAATATATATATATATATATATATATGTATGTATATATATATATATATATGTATATATATATATAAGTTAAAAAAAAAAAAATATATATATATGTATGTATATATAAATATATATATATATATGTATATATATATATATATAAAAATATATGATAGGATATATATATATATATATATATAAATATATATAATTATTTATATATATATATATATATATGTTTATATATAAATATATATATAATTAAAGTGAATACAGGAAAGAGTTAAGTTATGAGATCACAAAAGATTTAGAGTGATGAAAGATTGAATACAGATTGGAGTAGAGAGTAATTAGGAAGGGAACGAATTCAGAATCTTTGGGGAGTGGACGTGTCAGCGGATGGGTCTATGAAAGATGAGTTGAATCATAGAATTGATTGAGGAAAAAAGAGTGAGTGGTGAGGCACTTAGGACTCTGTGAGACAAAGAACATTGTCCCTTGATATGAGGCAAAGAGGAATGTTGAGAGTATAGTTTTAACCAACGCTCTTAATAATGGGTGTGAAGCGTGGGTGATGGAATGTTGCAGCGAGGGAAGGCTGGAGGCAGTGAGATGTCATGTCTGAGGGCATGTGTTGTGTGAATATAATGCAGAGAATTCGTAGTTTGGAAGTTAGGAGGAGGGCGGGATTACCAAAACTTTGTCCAAGGGCTGAGGAAGGTTTTGTTGAGGTGGTTCGACTTGAAGAGAGAATGGAGCTAACAAGAATGACTTCAAGATGTATCATCTGTAGTGGGAAGGAAGGCGGGTAGGGGTCGGCCTAGAAGGGTTGGAGGGAGGGTAAAGGAGGTTTTGTGTGCGAGGGGCTTGGACTATCCAGGCAGGCATGTGCTGAGCGTGTTTGATAGGAGTGTGAATGGAGACAAATGGTTTTTTAAATACTTGACGGGCGTGTTGTGAGTGTTGAGCAAATTAACATTTTATGAAGGGATCATGGAAACGCGCAGGCCG